GCAGGAGGGAACAGGCTGCTCCTTGCATTTTTCTTCCTTGTCAGCAAAAAAGAATATTCATTTAATGCTTTGCATGAAGACTTTGCTTAGAAGGTCTTTATTCATATTTAATTACTAGCTCGCTGCAGCTCCCATCTTTAATTACCTTTTAAAACACAGGTTATAAAAATGCACTGACATTCTTTCTTTTCAGTTACTGCATAAATTACAGGCTTCTCAACTGCTCACCTGGAATTAGTCCAGCCTGTGGGAAGGGTGGGACAGGTTCCCTTTCCTGACTTCTCGACACCTCAGAGGTTGTTGCATCTCGCTCTGCAGAGCAGGACTGAAACCGTGGCCTAGTGTCACATGAACCAATTCCATGCCTGAAGGCACATAAGCACATTGGCACTCCCTCTGAGCTAATTAACTGTGCAGAGGGGCCTGGCTAGTAAGCCAGGCTGGTAGCAAAGTACCACGGTAATAGTATTTCCAGGGCACAAGCTGCCTGGTGCTGCCCTGAGCGTCTCTAGCAGGGTGCTGTGTTATGCAGGGCAGACAGGCCTTTGCTCATCTCCCATTGCCTCACCCATGTCTCTCTAGGTTTTTGCTTCCTGGACATCTCTCTGGTGAAGCTACTTCTTCAACTTTCCTTAAAATCTAGTCCTGAGTTTCATATCCAGAGCTGCTAATACTTTCCTTTCCTGGCTGCGCAGTACTTTGCTGTCCCCACCTGGTGTTTTTTCTGAGCTGAAAGCACTGGTTACTATTATTGGATACATGAGAAAGTCCATCACTTAAAACATGTCTTCAGGCCAAGTCATCAGAGGTGCAAACTGTAATTTTTGTCCCCCTGCAATTAATCCAGCCCTTACTATGGCTCCTGGTTATGTGCTGGTTTTCACCGTGTAAGCTCGCCAATGCTGCTGTAATGCATGGGAATACACACAGTCAGTTTTCAGGGAGTGATGGTGGGTGTATTACATATCTGCAGAAGAATTACATGCAGAGCTTTTGGCTTCTGCCCCCCGTTAACAGCCAAGGATGCTGACCATAATCACTCCAACCTGTTTGCAGGACAGCCTGGAGGGGTTCCTCACATGCTGCCTGGCCACTCCATGACCTCGGTGAAATGTGCTGCTGGGGCTCTGCCACAGGTTTCCATAAGCAGAATATCTCCAGGGTGCTTTGGTTCTTGGCAGGCTTCATGGAGGCCAAGCAGTGACAAGGCTCAGTCAGAGGACAGAAGGGTGAAAGCACTGAGCCTGCTCAGCTTTGCACACAGTGTCTCTGGCCTGTCAGCAGGGCTTTTCTTAGGACAGTCTCTGGAACCCCAAGCTGATGCCTCTTTCTCTTCTCTCGGCAGATAAAAGAGCTCTTCGTGAGTTTTGAGGACACTCCCTTGGGAGCAGCATCACTAGCCCAGGTGCACAAGGCAGTGCTGCAGGATGGGAGAACAGTGGCAGTGAAAATCCAGCACCCAAAGGTCCAAGCTCAGAGCTCCAAGGATATTTTCCTCATGGAGGTAAAACTACCTGTTGACTTTGACTTATAGAGCAATTACCACTGAAACATGTGGGAGCCACATTCACCTATGGTGTGAGCAGGTACAACAGCACCATCCTGTAGCTTTGAAACCTCCATAGAGATAAATGCTGTCTTACAGGAGTAACACAGAAAGTTGGTGAGGATTGCAGTGAGGGTGATTGCATGGGTGGAGAGGCTGAATAAGAGAGTAAGAGTAAGGGAAGAAAGAAGGAGAAGACATGTAAGTGAGTCCTGAAGTCTCTCTTCTGCCTGTGTGTCCATTAACTGGTGGATCGAACTGGTCTCAGTTCCCCTTGCAGTCAGGACTGTGTGGCCAAGGAGAAGTAATTCTCCATGATGAGCGTTTTTTTTCAGTTAAATTCCAGTGTGGATTCAACAGTGTCCGAGCTTGCTGTTTCTTGATCAGATCCTTAATGCTGAGCTCATTCATGCTGAAAACAAAAACATCGAAGTATGGAGAAGGTCACCTAACAGGGGCAGGCGCACAAAATGAGGGATTCAGCTAGGAAAAAAGTTTCGGTGCCTGTGCCCTGTTCCTCTCCTGAATGGTGCGTACCATTCATGTTCCCAGTGCAATGCTGTAGCTTCTCCCAAACTTTTAAGTCTAGTCCAGTGAAGGGAGGAACTGGAGAAAAGCTGTGGCACTGCACTGCATTGCATTAGTCAAAGATGATATGGTAGGGAAAAGGAGACAGGGCTGAGGTGGAGGAGAGGGGAAGGAGTAGGTCTGTAAATGGTAGTGCTAAAGCTTTCGGCTCTCCTAATAAGTCTATATCTGTATGTACAGTAATGTGCACATCCATTGGCATACAAGTATGGCCACGGAACTAAAGAGGGGAAGATTAAGCTGAGAGGGTCTGATAAGTGTTTAGAGTGTACTACTGATGTAATGACACACAGTTCTCCATCACAGGAGATCAAGAATGAAAGATCCTGCCAGCACCCTCTCAGAGGAGCATTCCCCTACTAAAGAGGAGCTAAAACACCCTACTTTGAGCAATTCTGGCTAGTCTGCAAAGAAACACAGCTGTTTCCAGTTACAGCACAATGGTTTGCAGCTGAACATTTCTTTTGAACTAGCAGTGAAATAAATTTTTGGGTTCAATAAAGATATCCCAGTAAGATAGGATATGTCTGTTTCAGTGTGGGTCTGAGAACAGAGAACTGTTTGAACTTGCTTTGGGTCCAGCTGTAGATTTGAATGTGATTCAGGTCCTCTCCAGGACTGACTGCAGTGGTGTGCCTGATGGGTTTGCTTTTGTGAGTCACATGCACAGCAGTTCTCAAGGGGCTTATGGTATATCCTGCACTCCTGCCCAGGATAGGATGGAAGAAACTAGGCAGTCAAGGAAGAAGGATGTGGAAGGTAATGAAAGACTGTGAGACCAGGGCAATAAGAAGATTGTGTACGAATGAGCCAAGATCTAGATCCACCTTGGGGCATTTGCCCTTTTAACAGTGGGTATAACTTAAAAATTCCCCCCTCTCACTATGTTGCTGTGATTGCTGGTTATACTAGTAAGAGACATTTAAACAAATAATTTTAGAATTATTCCTGTCTTTTCTGTTTTTAGACTATTCCTTCTGGGAAACTTGAAACAAAACCAGTGTATTTCTTTTTGTCTGTTTGGTATTGTCCTTCCTCTACAGACTGGTTTGTCATCCTCGAGATCCGTTGTGTACACACAGCTATAGGAAAATAGCTCACGAGGTGACACATGCAGTCAAAGGGTCTCTTGTGGAGTGCTGGCTTACATGCATCATCATATCCTTGTGTGGGACTGTTTTTGTGTAGGCTGCACTGAAAGCCGGATGATGTACCTGGAGATTCTGGTCCTTTAAGAATCAGACAGACATTGCAGTTAGGTAGGCAGTTGATTTAAATATTGATGGAGATGGTCTTATTGAGAGACTGATGGGAAGGAATATGAATGGGAAAAGCTAGATGGAAAATTTCTAAATTCACTTGAGGTTTCATAGCATCATTGCTGACTCTTTAAAAATCAGTACAGCATCTGATAAATCCAGAGAGAGATACTTCACTGCTCTTATATCAATACTTATTTCAAGACAATATGTTAGACAGATGTCAGAAAAGGGATAGGCTGAATACTTGTTAAGTATGTCCCTGCTGATGATCAAGTTGGCAAATTGATTCAGAAGAGCATTTAAAGAAAGCAAAAAACAATGCATGAATTTTCTCGCATCAGGCACCAATGGAATAATCCTGTAGCCCCTGTAAAGTTTATGTACATGTTCGTGAAGATTGTCGGTTACATTTCATTTGGGTGACATAAATTTGAAAAGATTTATGCCTCTAGATATAACGGTAGAAAAATCATTCAACAGTGTCTGGAACCTGGTGATTACATTTTTAAAGGAACATTGAGTTTGGAAATGACATTTAGATAAGAGAAGTAGAGACAGGGGTGGAGAACAAATGTTTTAACACAGCTGAACAGGAGCAGTGATGGTTCATAAATTTATTTTTTGTCATACATTTCCATGATAGCAGCTTTCTGTGTGTGTGTTTCAAACATTCCTCCTGCAGTGCAGGAATCCCCACCTCAACGGGGGAGATCTAGGAAGGGAAACTGTCTAGGAACATACACTGACAAGTCTGTTTTCATTTTCAGGTGGGTGTACAGAACAAGTAAGATGAAGACAGCAGAGTGGATTGCATTTTTGTGTTTTGTTCTTGTTTTATGACTTAAGTAGTTAAACAAAGCCAAACAAATTATTTTCCTTAAGATGTGGTCCAAATTGTCAACTTGTGTAAATTTGTGACACTGGTTGAGAAACTGGCCCTTCATTTGAGCATGAAGTATGCTTGGCTGCTGTGCAGCTTTCATTGTGCCATTCAATCTCATAATCTTGATTTTCTTCAGGAAGGACTGCCCGTCACTTGCCCCTTTATTAAATGTTGCTGTAAAGAAATGTTTCCAGGAACTTTTCAGCTGGGCTTTTCAAGGCCGTGTGCAGCTGAATACCTAATTACTTTAAGAAGAGAATGCCAGGTGGTGGATGTATGATATTTAGAAAAGACCACCTTAGCATCAGTGATGATGGCTGTGACTGATGCTGAGGGGCAAATCTCCCTCTGACCCCCACCAGAAGTGTCCTTTAAAGATCTGCAGTCTACTACCTGTATCTGAGCTCCACTGTCTTCTCTGAACCACCCAGTGGATTTTCTGTGCTAGCAAAATTCTTGCTCAGCAGTGGAAGAAGTGACGTAGAGGTGACAGGTCTTTAGATCTTCTTCTTCTGCATTATCTGAAGGCATTAAGCCAAACAGTGATTTGTAGAATTATAGAACTCAGAAGAGAGTCGCTCCTGGGCCATCCCCTTGCCTTGATCTTCTGGAGGGCTTTGCTCTCCTATGTCTAGGCAGCAGTTAGCTGGGCTCCCTTTGGTGTCTGTGCTATCATTCAACTCCTAGATATGCCTGTGCGGAATGGCAAGGACAACATTTGTGTTGCAGGACCAAGGCATGACACCATGTGTTGTGTTATGATACTGCAGGAACTCTACAATCACTTGGGGAGGAGACTAGGTTTTTTTGATCTGTAAATTATATGGAACTATCTTATCAACACAGTACTGTATGTAGCTGCACGGCTTTGGAGCTAGGATGCAGCTGATTGTCCATTTGCTTGTTCTCAGGTTCTCCTCTTGGTTGTGAAGCAGATCTTTCCAGATTTTGAGTTCATGTGGCTGGTGGAAGAAGCTAAGAAGAATCTGCCCTTGGAGCTGGATTTCCTCAATGAGGGCAGAAATGCTGAGAAGGTTGCTCATATGCTCAAGAACTTTGATTTCCTGAAGGTGAGGAAACACATGTATGTATGTGCATTAACAGTCTCACTTTATGCCTCTTGTGCACCTCATTCACCATGTGAAGGAAACATATATAGAGAGAATGGAGTTCAGTCCCTCTGTGTTGTTCATCCTAGACTGCTCAGCTGATACAGACCAGCAACTGCTCAGACACATGCTTCCTCTTTGTCTGTTTCCTACCCAAGGCACTGTATATTGGATGAGGAGTGGTGGCTTGGGGCCAGCAGTCTCTGGAGCTGGCTACTCATTTTCCCAAACATTGTTTCTGAACTTGTCCAGGGACCTGTGAATTTGCCATTCTTTGCTGAGCCATCTCATGGTAATTTTTCCTGAGGGCATGAAATGGACATAGAAAAGCTAGACTGAATCTGATAATGTCAAGTAGGATTGGTCACACTGTGTATCTCCGGAGGGAGCATGTTCACAAGAATCCTTCCTCCTGCACATTCTCACTCTGGATTTGAGCATGCATCCTTCATACACATCCATCGCTAATGCATTCATGTTACCTTCATACACAAACTCAACTGCACCCATATTGTGCTCTTCCCCACTGACACTCTTACCCCACCTCCCCTGCTACACACTGACTAAGGTCACTGACAAATGTCTCAAGTACAACCAGACATGTACACATCTCATTCTTGAAAAGACATAAGCTCACATCTTCAAACTCACACGTGCACAAATCTCTTGCTGACATACAAGAGGCACAAGCTTCCACTGTGTGCATTCTGGAAATGTGCAAGTATGGCCAAGCACACATAGCGCTGTTGAATACAGTCACTGATGTAACTGCATTTGCACATACACAAAGGCAGCAAAAAATACACCCTCCTTTGGACCCTCCTGCATACACACATCAAAATGAGGTTTTCACCTCCCATTTGTGCAGAAATACCAAGATGGAAGCAACAGATGTCTGAAATTAGGTGAGTTTTTGTTAGACTTCATAGGCTGGTGCATAATTTTTTCCTTGCTTCCTCCATGCGAGGGCTATAATTCCTTGTCACCTGACTCCAGGTTTGCAGCAGTCCTTTTGGAGCCCAGTAGCAGCAGTGGTCTTCCCATAGACACAGATAGCTAAAAGCCACCAGGGCTACAGAAGGCCAAAGGCCAATGATTTTGCTGAGTGGGCGCTTATCGAAGTGATGCACCTTGGAGAGCTGCATCCGTTGCAGCTGTAACTACGATACTGTGAAGTAAATCCCTATGGAGACAGCAAATCGCCTCCTTGCTGGGTTAAGGAGCTATGATGATATCAATATGTGTAACAATAACAAATGGCTTGAGATGGCGAAATAATGGATGCTCTTGTCTGACCTGCCAATTCAGAGACATGTTCATCACCCAAAGGCAATGGAAGAATTTGGCTTCTGTATCATTAATTTTCCTAAACACGCTAGAAAGCTGAGAAGTGGATTTTGTGCTGTGAACCTGTTTGAGCTTTTAAAGCCAGAGATAAATTGTTTCCATGAACTAGCATTACAGCCAAACATCTGTGAGCAATTAAAAAAATCACTGAAGAATTTAGCTGTGAGTGAGAGAGGCATCTTCAAGAGCATAGGTAGTACTTTACAAGCCCCCTGACTTGCCCCTGTAAATCTTGAGACAAGAATGACTGTCATCTGAAATGATCTAAGGCAGCAGAGATCAGTGAGCTAGACAGGCTGGGCAACTGCTAGTTCTGGAGTTGGTTTGCTTTCTCACCAATCTAACTCTGTGAAGAATGGACATCCAGATAAGCTGGGAAGGCTGCGAGTAACCGAATCCCCCTTGCACATAATGGATTCCTGGCATCAAAGTCTACATGAGATTAACATGCAAAGTGTGCCTGGAGCATTGAACGAGGGGACACTGGAATTGCTCAGCAAAGGAGTCTGATCTAAAGTGTCACATGGTGAGGCAGAAGTGAGTGACATTGGGAAAGGGTCTCTCTAGGACAGGAACGGCAGGGGAGGCAGATAGTTTGTGAGGGACTGAGACACTGTCAGTCGTTACAAGCAGAGTATGAAACAAATGCTGCTTGTTCAGGAGTTACGATGAGCTACAGTGGCCCGGTTGGTTCCCCTGGCTCTGGTTGCACTAGGTGGGCAACACCTCTTACCTCTTCCTGTCCTGTCCCAAGGTGCTGGACCCTTGCAGTGTGTGAGTCCTGAGTCCACAGCTGAGTCAGGTGGGTGAGGAGAGGGGGCTGCAGAGCCCGCTCTCTCTTTGCAGGATCCAAAATGTGTCTCTCTGTATTGGGGCACAGTAATGGGAAGGGGTGGAGCTCCCTTATATCTTTGGCAAAATGTACCTGTGTGGCTTCAGCTGTGTGCAGAGGTAAATCTGGACAGCTTGGGAGATTGGTGAGCACAATGACGTGAGGAATATATAAAGGGAACTTCAGCAAAAGGACTCTTGACAGTAGAGGACTTCAGCATGGAAAGAATTTGGCTGGAGAGAGAGGCTGGAAAGGGGGAACCAGACTGAGCGATGGCTGTGTCACTGCCTCCCTGGGTGACACAGGGCCTCTTACTTGTACCTCACTCAGCTTGATTTACTGCAGATTGAATGAAAAGTGCTTTGACATTTTATACTTGTAACTGTGTCACATTGGCTATAAGATAGTTAAGGGTCTCCGAGGGTTTCTGTGAGAAGCCCCTTATCTGTGATGCCTGATTTTTCTCCCCGTTCTGTTGGAGACAGCCTAAGAATGCAGGGTTTGTCAGCTCGAAGGCATTTGTGTTCCAAGGGGCACTGCAGAGATACGATTTATGATGATGGCTTATCATTCTTAGAGCTGCATAAGTGGGCACTGTGCGTAGCAAACGAGAAGCCGTTCCTGTCTAAAGAAGCTGAGCGCATGATTCAGAAACTCATAATAGGTACTAGTTAAACAGCCCAGCCAGAGGAGCTGCAGAGCAGATAAGAGAGCTCTCAGATATCAGTGTGAGCAGGAGGTGGTCAAGCTGGTAAAGCAGGGCCTGAAATGTTACATCAGCACAGATCCTGCTGCTGTTGAATTGGTGTGTTGTCCTTGCACACATTACTGCTGTCCTGGAGAAGAGGAGAGTAGCTGGATTTACCTCACTCGTGCCCAGGAAAAAAGCAAATCCTCACTTCAGCCTCTTCCCTTTTTACTGCTTTTCTAATTTGTGTGTGATATATTCTTCCTTTCCCAGCCTATTGTTCAACCTAACCCATCTGTTCGTTTCAGGTCCCCAGGATCTACTGGGAGCTCTCAACAAGGCGCGTCCTTCTCATGGAGTTTATGGAAGGGGGACAGGTGAACGACAGGGCCTACATGGAGAGGAATGGCATCAATGTCAATGAGGTAGTTTCTCAGCTATCTCTGAATTGGGCATGGTGGGCAACGGAAAGCTGATATTGACATCAGCTGAGGATGCAAAATGGAGGCTGACAGGACAGGAGGAGGCAGAAAAGGGAGCATGTCCAGATGTGAACAGAGCAATCAGTCTGAGAGATCTCAGTTCTTGTGTTTTTGGGAAAAGTACATAACCCCTTTGGGGGAACACTCTCCTGTAGGCTGCCCAGCTAGAGAGATCTTCCAGGAGAGAACATGAACTGTATCTTCTCAGCTGCCTTCCTAAGTTAGTATGCAGCTCTTTCTTGGCCTAAAGAGCGCAGCCAAGTTACAGGTGGGGGGTTGAATAACCTGCCTGTTTCTCTTTGCCTCTTCCTCTGCTCTTGCACCCAGCAGAAGTCATGAGACATTTTCCAGTAACTTCTGCAGGCAGAAAGGCAGGCACCTTTTCATGTTTCCACACTGAAATACAGAAAAGGAAGGTCTAAGGTTAAGTTAGATTTTGAGATTGTCTTTCCATTGTAATTGTGATGAACAAGCCAAGGCCAGTGGGCAATAGTGAATGACACTTTCTTCTGGTCCATTTTCATTCAAGGGACTTCTTAAAAGAAAACAACCTTATCTTTAGATAGTGCAGTCTCTCTTCTTTCAACACTTCCATCAGGAAGACTTTGGAGCATTAGGTCACTGGTTTTCCTCCTCCCTCCCATCAGGGTATCACAGAGGTCATTGACAGCTGATCAGAGGTAGACACAATTCTTTCTCTGTGTCTATTTTGTGCTGGTGATCTTTCCTTGTATTTACCAAGGTAACTGCCTCAATGGTGCATCTGGTCTGCAAGAGCACCATAGTGTGACTTCTGAGAACATGATAACTCATGGACTTTTCTATCAAGAGATTTTAAAAGCCCGGTCCATGGAAGAACACCCAGTCAGCTCCATTCACTCGGACAAAAAAAACTGGTCAAAAATGAGAGAGTAATTTCTTTGAGTGAATTTATCCTATCCTTTCCTTCTACTATAAAAGCAGAGGTCAAAACTAGCCCACAGCACTTGGATAAGGAAGTGAATATTCCTCAAGTCTTGAAATAGTCAGAAAGGCTTGTTTTGATGTATTAGCGGGAGGATTCTTGAGCAATGTTTGCATTCAGATTTTGAGATGGACTTCCTCATAACTCTTGGACAGCAGATCCATTCTGAGACTAAGGTAGCCAGCTCCCTGGGATTTTGGTTGCTTCTTTAAATTTTCTCAAACTGCTGGAGATAGCAAGCAGGAGGAGCCCAGGGAAGAACATTCTTTGCTGTCCTCCATGGCTTTCTCCAGCCAGCCAACGTGGACAATTCAATAACTGCAGCATTTCAGTGGGATATTTTGCTGGCAGTATGTGCCAAAATAAAGTAGAAAAGCAGCTGATTTAAGTTTTTCTAACTTGCTGAGGCTTGTGCTTGAGGTAGGAGAGATTTAGGATGAAAATTCTGCTCATTTGTTTGTTCATCTGCACCTTTGGGAAGGTCATTTTGTGATGTCTTGGCACCATAGGTTCCATGCAGCAATGAAACCACATATTTTGCTGATTCTCAACTGGTCTCTCAATGATGGCTAAGATGTAATTTAGAAAAAGTTGTCAACAGACTTTTACTAATACAAAGTATAAGCCTCAGAGCTTTCTGACAATCTGTTGGATGTATGATGTTGTTCACCTTAGTGGTAGGACTAGACTTTTCTGCAAACTCTCTCAGTGCCTGTGCTGAGCTGTTCTTCCTTTTCTCTCCTCACTCCCCAAAATAAATAATTAACTTTTACTGATTGCCAGTACAGCAACAGTGCAAAGGAGGAGATACCAAGTCTGTCAGAAGCATGTGATGGGGAATGAGGTCTGCTATTATGGCCAGAGTAAAATGAGGTAGGAGCAGTGCACAACCCAGACCACTCCTCTGACGAGGTGCAGCAGATGGAGACAAATATGACTAAGATCCATTATAAGCTGCTGCTGTTGATGCCCTGGGTAAAGAACTGCATGGTATGCTGCTGAAGTGAGCAAAAGGCAGCAGACACTGAAAGGAGCATGAGGAGTGGGTGGCACCCCGGTTTTAAAACTATGACATGGCTTATAATATACAGCAGTTCAGGCTTTCAAGAGATGTATTAGCTCCCTAAAAATCACCTCAATTTATCTATCTATCAACCCCTCTATCATCTTACTCCATTTTGTTTTACTGAGCGGAGGAAGAGGAGTCTTCACTAAATAGGATTTCTCTTGTGTGACAATGCAGCTTTGAAAAGCAAGCTGAGCCTCTCTCGTCTAAATGGAAAGGATCCCTGAGGTGAAAGCTCCCTTCAAACCAGGTTACTGACATTTACTTAATACCGTCTGTAGCAGGATTATCATTAAAGCTGCCCAAAAGCACATTAATCTCTCTGGATCCGTCCGAGCGCTGGATTGTAATGGCATTTAATCAGAGAAGGCTTTGATTTCTAAAGACAAGTGCAAACACTGGAATATCTGCCTGTGGAACAGTTACTTATTCACATGCAAGTGTAGCTGAGGATGAGCATGCAGCTAGGATACTGACAGTGAGAGGGAAGCCTGGAGAGTGGAGTTATCAAGAAATGAGCTGGCATTAATTTTGAGGAAAGACCAGGCCATGGCAGGGTTAAGAAGAGGCACACCTGGTAAATGGGCAGTGCCTGTTTCAAGAGACAAGAGCATTTATAGTCCTGGTTGGGAAGATATATTTGGAAGAGGTGGGCAGAGCAGGGAAAGGAGGAAAAATAGAGGCTGAGGGGCTCTCAAGGTGTTTGTAGCATACTGTATGCAAGACCAAAGGAAGGATAGCAAGGCTACATAGAGCATGAACTTCTAAAGAAGATCCCAAATGGCACAAATGCTCCTTTGCACCCATTCTGATTTTACCTGATTTATTTAGAGAGATCGTGTAAATATACAAATCTTAACATTGTCTCTGATTTGCTGCATGGGTCCTCCCTGTCCCTCCGTGTGGATCCTCTGCCTGTGTCTGTAGAGGCTGCTGGATCAGCAGGCTATAGAGTTATGGAGCTTACAGACGAGCTTGTGGCATGTGCTGTATTGCCTCCAGCCAAACAGCCAGCTCAGGTAGCCAAGTGGAGAGTCCCCGATGGTCGTCCTGGCTTACATTTGAGTCAGGGAAAGGAAACGATGCCAGGTACTTCAGCTCACTAAGAGCCTGGTCATGAGCTGTGGATGATTCAGAAGTCAGGAAAGTGTTTTGTCCAGCTGAGAAGTGAAAGGAAACAGCTAAGGTACTTTAAGATGAGCTACTGTGCGCAATTATTGCCATCTGTCACCCCATTCTATTCTGGCTTTTTGCTTCCTTCTGTTCCTAAATGGGTTCTGCACTGGAGCAGTATCTCTTAGCTCAATAAAGAGCCCAGCTACCTTCTCATGGTTGACAGCTTTGCAATTTAAAATATGTTTTCAGTGTGGTATTTACCCTTCTGCCAAGAGTCAGGAGCTGCTGCCTTGTAGCTGCTAAAATTTAAGTGGGATTTCCCAGGGTGGCATCCCTTTTGTCAGCACAAGTGTGGAAACCTCTCATGTCTCAAGTATTTGTGCTTAAAACACTCAAGTGTTAGATGAAACAGAGCGTGGAGAACAACGCTGTTCCTGGAGAAAACGGCTATTTCTGCTCTTTGCACCTGCTGATTTCATCTGGGGAGAGGTTTCCTTGGAGATTTCCTATTGTATGAAGCTTAATGAAAATTCACAAGGCCCTGGTAAGCAAGGATTGTGACCACCATTTCCAGCTTCTGAACTCTGCAAAGACACCAGGTAAAAGAGTTAAATTACACATGAACCTGTTTCTTACTCAAAGTCACTCTCAAGCATCAGTGTCAATCAGTTGCTCAAGCCTCAGCAAGATGCTTTACATTAAATCCAAGGAAATATGACTACATTTAAAGCCAAAGGAAAAGGATCCCCATGGCAATTTTGGGTCTGACAGAGATGCAAGAAACAATTAAATAAACAATGACTGGTCTCCTCTACCTGTGTCCTTTTGAGATTCTGTAGAAACTTACCAAGTTAGTCCCTCTGTTCCCTGGGCAGATGAATCAGAATATGTCTCACCACTTATAATGCTGTGGAAGATGGGGCATTGAGCAGGAAAATAATTTCCTCAGTCCCCAACAGAAAGTATGGGGCATACTAGGAGTACACTTCAGGAGTCCTAAAAACTATTCCTGTATCTTAATGACATCATGTGTGTCCAGACATCACCTTGCTGTGATGCTAGATCAGTGCATAGTAACAGTTCTGCATTACAGAGTGCTGTGTTTTGATCCTCACAACTGGATCACAGAGGGCAGAGTGTGAAATCGGATCTCTTGTGTGTGACTGTCCTAATCTTCTGTGGATAAGAGCCATTTCAGAGCAGAGACACAGAACAGGCTCCAAATTGTGGCTGTTCTGTATCCGCACCCTTTGCTAATTTGACACCAGTTTAATTGGGCAGGATTGCCCTAGCAGGATTAAGCAAATGCTCAGATGATGGCTGTAATAACAACAACGAAAGAAAGCAAAAACCCAATACACTCTTCAATCCAATTAACCTTCGATTAAGGTTCCAAAATCAATGCTATTATTTTGGCCCGAGGAGGTAATATTGAGCCCTGAGAAATGAGCTGCACAACGACCTTTACTTTTAATGAGATCAATAGAAGTTAGTGTCGCCATCTCTTAAAATAATTGGCAAATATTACAGCCAAATTAAGGCCAGAGACTAGTATCTGCTCTTGATCTAAAGAGACAGTCACAAATTGAGGTGGGACAGGAAGGAATGATGCCTTATCAGCCCTATCAGGCAGTTTCATCTGGGACTTATCAGGGACAGGTGGTGAGATCAGTTCTACAGTGACCATGTCACAGGATTTTTTTCTTTGTGTTTCTTCTTCATGTCAGTTGGAGGCATGGAGCCAAAACCACTCCTGCTTGCTCACAAGGCCAGTAAAGTGATTTTTCATGGATAACC